TCTATATATCTATATATTTATCTATATATTTATCTATATATTTATCTATATATTTATCTGATATATTTATCTGTATATTTATCTATATATTTATCTATATATTTATCTGTATATTTATATATGTATTTATATATGTATTTATATATGTATTTATATATGTATTTATATATATATTTATATATGTATTTATATATGTATTTATATATATATTTATATATGTATATATATATATATTTATATATATATCTAAGACTCTCTATGAGTTATAAATTATAAGTTATAAGTAGAGATAGAGATAGAGATAGATAGTAGAAGTGTAATAGGAGGAGGAGGAGGAGAAGGAGGAGAAGAAGGAGAAGGAGAAGAAGAAAAGAAAGAAGAAGAAGAAGAAGAAGAAGAAGAAGAAGAAGAAGAAGAAGAAGAAGAAGAAGAAGAAGAACTTAGAGTTAAAGATATAATAAAAAATTCTTTAAGAAAACTTTTCTTTCCTATAGCTAAGGTATTCTCTCTCTTTCTCTCCCTCATTTCCAGTAGGGACGAAAACAAAAATCCATCTATACAAAAATTCAGAATCTGATATATTTTCTTCTTCTTTTTGATTTATTATTCTTCTTAATATCGATATTAATGTTGATAGTATTCCTCCCCCTCCCCTCCCCTCCCCTCGAAATTTAAAATTCATCTACTCCTACATCCCCGGAATTCTGATCCCTGCTTTCCCAGTTAAACTTCACAGAATCATGGATTATAGTGCGTAGCACCGACTGTTGCTTGCGTGATCATGAGTAGGGCGATGATTAATCCGTAGAGGCCTGATTTCGGGGGTGATTGTGTTAGTGTTAGTGTTTTTGCTGTTTGTTTTCTGCTTCTTTTTCTTGTCTTTCGCATTCCCTCTATTCGAATATTTATTTATCGATCCATCTATTCATACATTCCCCCCTCCCCTCTGAGGCCTCTTAACCAGAAACCCTCCAAAGCGAAAAAAGAACGAAAAAGGAAAAAGCAAACGAAAATCGAAAAAAGAAAAACTCATCCAATATCTCCGCAAAAATCAACACCAACGCCATCCCGATAAACATCTTCGGTTGCATTGCCGCGCCTCTTACTCCCGCGTCGCCAATCACCTCACTGCTAAAGCCAGAAGCGAGACAGCTGAGTCTGACGGAGAGATCCGCGGCGAGATGGAGGAAATTTGTGTGTAGAGCGGAGGGAGCGACGAGGGTGGAGGTAATCAGGATGCTGGGTAGCAGGCCGAAGATGGAGAGGATGGAGGAGAGGATTATGGGGAGGAAGTTTGTGGTGGGGGCAGAGTGGTTGGGTGGAAGAGGAAGGGAGGGAGAGGGTGAGGGTGAGGGTGGAGGAAACGAGATTGGTGGGTGTACTGCGAATCATGTTTTGTGGTTGCATGACACTGACTGCAGAGATTCCGATGCTACTTTTGGTTATGCCGTATGCGGCGCCGATGTTGGAGAGGACGATTGCACAGCAGCAGCCTATTGCTCCGAAGAAGGACTGGAGGGTTGATGGGTTGGTTGGTGGAATTCAGGTGAGGGTATGGGAGGAGGGGGGAGGAAGGTGGTCACTCACGGCGTAAACGGGACTTCAGGGCGGAGTGAGATGTAAGCATGGTTTTTGATGAGGATTTGGTGGTGATGTGAGTGGAATACATGCCATCTATCATTGATATGGATCCATTGTGATTGTCTGATAATTACTTTAGAACGAGTGGAAGCATCGTGTAATAGATGTTTTCTTGATATGTCAGGTCTTGTGCAAACTGCAGTGTGACTACTAAGAAGGCATGAATTTATCGCAAGAGGAGAATTAAGTTGGCAAAATGTTGATTTCAAAACTAAGGAACAAATCTGATTGAGAACTACATTTTCAAAATGCAAGGGGAATCATATCATATGATGTGAAGTTGCATGTTCATCCTTCTTACATCGCTGGAGGGTAAGCCCCACGAATAAATGCACTTAGGCAGCCGCCGCATAAGATCAATATGAATCTTGATTTGACGAACATGCAGAGAATAATTGAATTCCAAGTTTTGGAATTTTATTGACAACGTGCGTGCATTTGTACATCAACAAAACAAGTTCTTTCGGTGAGAGGCATCTCAAAGGCTCGAGGGCTTTGATTGATTGGTTTCCACGCACTGGGTGCCTGATTTCAATAATTTCAACTTGGCAGATGTTTGAAATGATCTGGTGAATGATTGCGACGCTTAGTATGATGAAGTTAGAAGTCAGCTAGATGATACCACCATCGTGTAGATGACGGATGTTCCAAATACATAAGTACTGCTGCCTTCGGTCACCGAGGCGATGATTACGTAGTCTGCGCTACGCAATCAATGCAGATCATGATCAACCTTACTGCCGACGAAAATTGTGATCATTGGCCATGCTTATTACGACGCCAGGAATCATCGCAATTTTGCATACTTTTCAGCCTTGAAGAGTTTCACTGCCAGGCGTACCGTATGTGATGAATCAGGTGAGCATGATTGCCCAAAAGTCAACATTTGGCAGATTCTTAAATTGCTATAGTTGCCTAGAAGGTGATCAGAAACGGTATACCGCGGTTCTTTGGCAATGGCAGTGACCAAGGCGAGACTAACTCTGCGTGCTTTCACCTCGATTGAAATGAATATGCTGGAACCTGAACACATAGTTTCCAAAATGGGGCAATGCTATCGTTGATACTTGCCGCGCCTCCTCCTGACTTCGCCATCTTTCAGCACCTCAATTTGGTTTGCACGATGCGCAGGAACTTAGAGAGTGAACAATGTGTGCGAAGCAATGCTCCACTCCTACAAATATTCAACACACCAAATACGAAAGCACACGCGTACACGTCACTTAAAACGAAAAGAAAAGTTCTCACACTTGTAAGAAGTATTTGCTATGCCGCAAGCCAACATTGAGTTGGATATTTGGTTTGATATACGCAATTTCAGCTCAGGTATCATCCATTGAACAGTTTGGAGTTCCATATGAGGACCCTTTAGTGAACGTAAATTCAGTGATCGGACGAATCTGCTACAACATCGCCGCGATAGATGCAATATATTAACACGACGCTGTTGAAGGTGTTGATGTAAAGAACTTAGGTAGGCGCAGTGACCGAGTTCGTATGTCAAGCCCCCCTCCCCACCTGGGTATACTTAGTCAATACCATAAACACCAAGCTTTTTGATCTCCATCTGATTGAAAATCCGTGGCTTGATTCCCGAAATCAGTCATACCAAGAATCCAAGACGTGATGAATTTTCCGATGTTTGGGTAGGAAGTTTTGAAACGAATTGCAAGATTTGAAAAAAGAGGTCACAGCTGGAGGCTGCCGCTTAGACTTGGGCGGCGGTCGCGTTCAAAACGTTTGAAGTATGGGGAAGGAATATGTGATGATTTGAGTTAGTCAATGCTCATAGTATTTAGGTAATAGCTCAGATGAGTATGGTGTTGCAAACTCGCAATGAGATCTTCTGAAATTCAAATGTTTGGGAATATTCCTTTCCTTTTGTCAGTCATGGAAATTTATCAAGCTTAGTAATGATTCTTGGCGAGACAAGAAGCACGTGCCTAGTACTGAAGCGATGTTAGTAAAAGTCGTGATAGTCGTCAGTCAAAGTCTGATAATCTATAGACCATTCCTACCTAGGCACCTAGATGATCATAAAAATATCTTATTTTGGATTGTGGCTGTGAATGAGTTATATATACGTAGATACCTAGCCACGTGCTAGCATCTTAAAAAAGTCTTAATAAACTCGCATATCAAAATCATACTTTGTCTGTATGGAGCGAAGGGAGGAAAATCCCTATGGTGGACGGAACGACCCTTTTAGAGTTTGGTACGAACACAATCGATCCAATCCCACTACCATCAGATCCATACCTAGTAACCAACGGGGGAGTACTCTTGTACGATGCAGGAAGTTCGGCAACTACCTAATCTCTTTAGTGCCTGCGTAAGTAACCCTATGAGATCCATCTTTATTGATACTGTACTGTCAGACTGTCTGGAGGTTCCATGTAAAAGTTAAAATGTCCGATATCACCGTCTGGTGGTCGTCACTGTTTGCTTACGAATATAGTGGTGATGATGACGAGTAGGTATCTATTCTGTTGACCACGAATTACGCTGCCCATCACTTTCTTCGGGTCTATTCCATTGGCCTCCTGGGTCATTGTAGGCAGAATGGTCACATTTTTGCTTAATTAGCTTTTTCAGTCTTCCAGTTTGGAAGTTTGCGTGTTGGTCCATCCATTGAATTTACGGCACAGGCCTTTGACAGAGTACTACCCCTCGAAGAAATGAAAGGAAGACTACGTACACATATATCGTACACCTTATATGTCTCCCCCTTTTCAAATACTTTACTTAACCTCTTGAAGCTTCATCCGATAAAACGGGTTTTTTGCTTTCCACATGAACGAGCTAGATGCAGGATCACAAAATGGCTTTGGCGTAAGAGAAACTATTCACGTCTCTTCTCGGTCAAGTTCAAACAATTTCAATTCATGCTTTGTATCATGGATTTATGGTCCTCGCTTTATTACTGGGAATTAGGAAAAGGACTGTGTGATGAACCCCGATGGTGTTTCAAGCAAATGCACTTTTGTCTTTAGTCTGCAAAATATCCCATCCTCAATGCTTCATGCTCTGTTTCTAGGTCTGAGGGTCGAAGACTCGGAGGAAAAGAAAGGCATGAGGAGCCACACAAATTCATTTATCGCAATAATCTGAAAATAGCATGTTTCCTCTTTCCCCCTCCTTTCCCATGAGATCCCTGGAAAGTTATGTTGGAACTTGTGCAGGTAACGAATTATGGATTGGTATGGTACCCTTCCGCGAGTACAGTATCTAGTATGCACATCCAGATTCGTCAATATCAAAATGTCAAGCAGGTATGGTAGATCAGAACAGTGTGAATCAGAATCTTAATTCGTTGAGATATCAGAGTGTCTGTACCTCGCCTCTTCCTCCTGAAGGAGACCTGAAAGCTATTTAGGAAGAAAGTCTGGGGCGCAGGATTTCCAGCGAAGAGGATTTTGTTTGATATGATTGGATATTGAATGATATCTCATAGATTCTTACTCGTACCTCTTTTATAGATCAGATGTTTCAATGTTCCAATGTTCAAGATACGTCCCCCTTTATATCATTATTGTGTCCTTATTGTCTAGTTAATATCGACTACATATCTAGTAACCCTTTTCATTTTTATTCTTTTTAATATATTATTTCCCATCGAACGACTCTTGATTTTCAGATTTCTTGTATTCCATACAAAGTCTGCGTACCCGCCTGAGCTTCGTAGTTGTACATGGTAGGCCGCGTCATATTGCGGATCCTTGACCTTGAATCATGCCAGACAACAACCCTAGCATTTATACTAGCATTTATACACTCTGTGCTTCGTACCGTATGTCAACCAACAAACTTGCCAAGATATAGAAAAGAGGATCGAACCTTGGGATTGGAATCACTCTTTGCATTGGATTTGGTCTTTTTGTATGAGAAATATTATTCTAGAGGTTCAAAGCTTTTTGGACCGTCTTCTTGCATTTTCATATACAGTACCTTTAGAGAATTCCACTTGCTTGTATATTTCTACTCAATCGTTTCAATCCTCGTCCTTGATAGTAAAACAAGTTGACTACTGCTACTGCACCTAATACCTAGTAAAGGTTCTTGTCATCTTATATTGCGTTACTTTCTATTCATCCTTCCATCTCCATCTCCATATTTATATCTTTCCCTCTTACTTTAGAATCTCTCAGCCTTTCTCGGCATTCTAAGTTCCAACCGCTGCGCTTCCTAAAAAGTCACCCACGCCACCATTTGATACAGGACAAGAACGGATTCCACGGCATGCCAGCCTTACAGTAGGAAAACGCTTGAAGATCTTAGAAATACTAAGAAATATACTCCACAAATCTGTATAAAATACGATTCTCTTGCCTGCACCTCGTACTCTCAGCCACAATTCAGAGTTTCGTCATCTGTCGCAGGCTCTCTTTGCTGTACAAAAGCTTTACTCTTACTAGTACTACTCAGTCCGAGATTTGAGAACTTATACAAAACATCGCATCACATCACATTCGTTCCGAATTTTGGTTTCTAAAAGTACCACCTTTCATATCAACCTCACTCCAACAAACCATTTTTTTTAAATAGTTTAAATATATTGGTTATTACTTTTTACATTGGATTTTCTTGGCCCTATTTTCCGATTTTCTAAGAACCAAATTTTTTGGGTCTTCGGGGTCTTCGAAGCTAAATTAATTAGCGCCTACTGTCCGCGTCATCTGGACCAACCCGAACAATATATACCAATTTCATATCCCATATAGGATTTCATAGAAGGGTATTTCTTTTTTATCAATATATTTTATCTCCAATCATGAGGACGACAACATTCATTACCGCTGCCGTGGGAATATTATCAACATGTACAGATGCAATACAATTACAGAAGCGAACCGATGGACCAGCACGAGTAGTTGGACTGGATATGGTACGAAAACGGGTGGAAAATCCTTTAGCAAGAGATAAATTAAGGAAATTAAGGAGGAGGTCGAAGACTGTTACTGCTACTTTAGATAATGAGGTTCGTGAATTTCATATACTCTTTAAGTGAAGCTATATACTAACATCGTTCAGGAAACTTTATACTTCGCCAATGGAACATTAGGTACACCAGCACAGAGTTTACGGTTACATATCGACACAGGAAGCAGTGATTTATGGGTTAATACTGCTAGCTCAACATTATGTAGTAGAAAGACAAACCCTTGTCAGCTGGCTGGAACATACACGGCCAACTCATCGTCTACATACGCATATGTAGCCAGCGATTTTAATATTTCTTACGTTGATGGATCTGGAGCATCTGGAGATTATGTCACTGATACATTTACGATTGGATCAACGACGTTGGACAAATTACAATTTGGTATTGGATATACCAGTTCTTCGCCTGAAGGTATTCTAGGAATCGGTTACGAGATTAACGAGGTTCAGGTGGGAAGAGCGGGAAAGAAGGCATATAATAACTTACCAGCACAAATGGTTGCTGATGGTTTGATTAATTCAAATGCTTACTCCTTATGGCTTAACGATTTGGACGCTAGCACTGGAAGTATTTTATTCGGTGGTGTCGATACTGCTCAATTTCACGGGAAATTGGAAACCCTCCCGGTCGAGAAAGAATCCGGATATTACGCCGAATTTCTCATCACCTTAACCGAGATCATGCTAGGCGATACCGTCATCGCTCAAGATCAAGCTCTCGCCGTGCTCCTCGATTCCGGAAGTTCCCTCACCTACCTCCCCGACGCCATGGCCGAAGCCATCTACGAACAAGTCAATGCTCAATACGATGCTAGCGAAGGCGCCGCCTACGTCCCCTGTTCCCTCGCTTCCAACACCAGTGCTCTAAACTTCACCTTCACATCCCCTACCATCCAAGTCACCATGGACGAACTCGTCATCCCCGTCACCAGTACCACGGGTCAACAATTACAGTTCACAGACGGCACCGCAGCCTGTCTCTTCGGTATCGCTCCTGCAGGTGACAGTACCTCGGTTCTGGGAGATACCTTTATCCGCTCCGCATACATCGTCTACGATCTCGACAACAATGAAATTTCTCTCGCCCAGACAAATTTCAACGCTACCAGTACCAGTGTAGTGGAAATCACCACGGGCACCACGGCAGTTCCAGACGCAACACTGGTTGCGAATGCAGCAACCGCTAGTTCAGGTTCTTCGGGTGGCGAGATCAGCGGATCGGTCACTTTGAGCTCGGGTTCAAAGTCGAAAAATGCAGGCGCCATGCAGACGCCGCCGCCGTTGGCATATGGGATGGCTGCATTGGGTGCGGGATTGTATTATGCTATGTAAAGATCTTTCTCTTTGCTTGGCAACATGGAATGTCATGAGATGAGATGAGAAGACGTGACGAAAGTTATTTGGAAAAACTTTTATTATTTTTATTATTTTTATTTGCAGCGGATTGCATTGCATTGCGTGAAATGGGATGGCATGGTATGGCATTCTAGAGTTTTATACACACAAGAGTTGCATTAAAAGGCGTTTCTCTTTTTTCTATCTCTCTTTCCATATATATATATAATTTTTATATGTTTTTATGAGATGAGAGCGTTCATTCTTCTTTTGATGATAATGGATTTTTCTTCTCCATAGCTTTTGAAATATGGATGGATGGTTGGGTTTCATGGGTTGCATGCTTGCATAGCATCGGAGTCTTTCATTTACTTATGATTTGGATGGGATGGGAACTTTTGGGAGGATTGGAGAATGAGAAGTGAATATGAGACGAGATAGGATGGGATGGGATGAGAAGTGATGCTGATGTTGATGTGATGGAATATAGAGGGGTTAGATGTGGATTAGATATTCTCGAATAGAAAGAGAAAGGATACACACATATATACATATATGCAAGAACAGAAAGATAATAAGAATCATTACAAGACAGATTAAAAAAACCATATCTATCTATCTGTCTATCTATCTATCTTCAATTTATCATTACCAGAATTTGAATATATATATATGAACTCTGAAAAATATCAACATGAGATGATGTTGAATATCCAACCAATACCCACCTACCTACCTCGCTATCTATCTACCGACTAGATTGAATGAGTTCACAGGTATGCAATATACATGCAATATATATCTTAGTACATTGTACAAGCCTCAAGATGGGAAATACTAACTCGGGATATGAACGGGTTTTCGGTACTCGAGGCTTGGAATCTAGGGTTCGAAGGGGGGGGGAGCTTGGAGAGGGGAAAGATATAAGAAGAAGAAGGCCAAAAAAGGGAAAATGTGAATAGTTACAAACAAACTTGTTAGAAACCTATCCAAATACCCGCTGGATTTCCTCGAGATCAGAAATTGATATTCAGAATTTACGATTACTGATTTTTTATTTCTATCTATCTATTCATCTGACTACAGTATGTATCGAATTCATCATCTGCAGCTTCATTTATAGATAGATATAATTAGATATAGTTAGATATATTAAAAATAATACAGTAGGTTAGAGATAAAATACACAAACCAACTACATATATACTACAGAACTCCGAATACAATAGTTATACAAAACAAGCATGTAGATATAAAGTCGCAATAGTTTGAAGCAGATATACATCTCTTTATTTATACATACCGATATCAACATCGATTCTCCGATTTGGAAAATAGGAAATGAAAGATAATTGAATATCTATCCATTCATCTATTGGTTCAATAATCCCGAATACTCAATCAAGCCCTCTATTACTATCATCTAATATTTCATTTTCTTCTTCCCATAATCATCGCACCTCTCCCCCCTCGCTCTCCGCTTCGTCGAAGTTATCTATTTCTCTCTGTTATGGATGATTGAAATTCTACACCCTCTATTCTAATCATAAAATAGATGGTAAGTTGAATGATATCAATACCTATCAGATTATTATCAAATCAGATATCCATCAATCCAAATTACAAATTGAGACATTATGGTAATCAGCCATCCAGTGTACCTTTCAAATCCAAAATGACCTCACAAATTTCCATCCTGCTGGACCACTGTAATGCAATCAATCCACTCCATCACTCCACCCCACCCCACCAAGATCAAAAAAAGGTCAAAAAAAAATCAAACTCCCCCACCAAAACCCCCTCGCACTATTTCCAACCCCTCCATCTTCCTTTGTCGCTCTTTTCCACCCCGTCTCATTCTCCCATCTGCCCATCCCAATCCATCCTCATAGAGGACCAAACCGAAAAAAAAGCAAAAAATATAAGCTAATGTAGGGAATTGAGCCCAACGCGGGGGTCGAACCCGCAACCTTGTGATTGACTTTGAACATCTTCCAATGATAAGAGTCACACGCTCTACCGATTGAGCTAGCCGGGCAGGCTATGCTTGATGATTTGATATTGGAGCAGCATGGTTTTGAATATATAATTTCTACCTAATTATGAGGAGATGAAAAATAGGAGGAATTCAGGAGGGAGGAAAATGTATTCCGTATGGAGAGGTAGGATAGCAATGCAATGAGCCGTAGTAAAGAAAATGAGTCTGAATGATACAAATGTTCGATACATATACCGAGGAGAAAAAGGTAAATGTACTGTGAATAGGAAAAAAGCAGAAATACCTGCACCATACCATTAAATCGTCAAATAAACGCCAGCCTAGCCAGCTCAATCCGTAGAGCGTGTGACTTTAATCTTTTAACAAAAGATTGGCATACAGGCTGGAGAAAATGCTCACATTGTGTATGTGTATGGTTTTTAGATAATATCAATGTGATGTTGGTCGGAGTTTTTGAAGTGTCTTCGCTTCGGGGGAAGGAAGGAGCAATTGACCATGGAATGTATATATGTGCTTAGGTACTTGTGGGCAGATGGGTTATTTCCTGAAGTATCAGAATGAGAAGGTAAGGATAGGAGTACTGGAGATACGTGTTCTAAGATTCACGCCGGAGTGGGTTAGTTATCCTGTTCGATTTTCAATCAAGTGAGATCAAATATTAACACACAGCCTTTCCCTGAACGCAGATAGAGATTTCGCAATATCTTAATTTCTACTCGGGTATCTACATACATACATGAATTCCTTTCCTGGCGCCTTTTCTTCTCCCTTCTAGATTTCCTTCCACGCACCATCTTAAAATCACGCTCCCAAATCATAATAAATACACATACCCGTTCTAAAATTATAAACAAAAGCATTCCTCGTATTATCTTTATTCTGGAATGCTAAACCACTCATTAAATCATGGATTTCACCTATATAGCGACGTTCGGCTGTGGGAACTGAATGGGTAAGTTTGCGCCAGGACTCCGGATCCGAAAGCTTGGTTTCGCGGATTAGATCCATCACCTAAGGAAGTGGGTGTTAGTTCATAGGTTAGGATAAGTTGTGAAGCACAAGATAATGGAGTGAAAGAGGAGGGGTATAAAGCTGTGTGGACTAGCCACAAGATACGATACGGTAATGAACAAGGGTAGAGCAGTGCTTAAATTAGGGATAATTTTTTAATTAGACTGCTTACGTGATCTGTTGTTTCAACGGCAGCGATAGGGCCATCTAAGAATGAATGAACGACTTGTTGGAGATGTTAGTATGAGTATCGTAATAGATAGATGTAAGAAAAGGTTCGAAGAATGCAACTCACGAGTCGCAGCTCTTCCTTGAGCTTGCTCTACAATGTTTCTTCTATTCGACTTCTTGCTCTTGGTACCGGCAAACAAAACCCGTACATCCTGTTCATGATCACTTGGTCCTGCATCTGGCTGACTATGTTGACGAGATAATCTAAGAGACGTATCAGTATCCATAAATTAGAAGAGATTCACATATACTTACTTCGCTCTGTTGTAAGTACCTTCTCTCTGGTCCCTTTCACGCATTTCGCCACGAAGCCACGAAACTAATTGCGTGGAAGGTATATCGGCATCCGGAACGTCCTTCCTGCCAGTAGTCTTACATCTTACCACGGAATCTTGCTTGATGATGATAATCCAAGAATAACTGTCATCTCGGTATTTGGATAGGAGATCTTCAGGGGATCTTGAGTCTCGTGCTAGCTCGGCACTTATATCATGCGACCATAAGTTCGAAACCAATTCAACTCCAGTTGACCTTAGTATTGCTGCATCATGACTTGCGACAAGTACATCACACTAGCAAATAAATCAGTTGTTTTTCATTTGATGTCGGATTTATGGTGTTATAGTAACTCGAAAATAACGAGGATTGCAACACTTACTCTCTTTGTGCTCCAAATACCTTGCACTTCCTCATCAGGCTTCTTTAAGAATCCCTTCGGATTTGCTTTAGGAAGTCGAGCCATCTTCTCCCATGCTAGATTGAAGCCTACAGCGTGGCGTTCCTCATTGATGTTCTTGTGATGTCGATTTTCTCGGATCAAAGAATCATATCGACCTCCTGCCGCAAATACATCCCGAACTTTTCTATCATACAAACAAGAAAATAGTATTCCGCCTTTGTAGAATTTTTCTTTTAGACTTCCTAAAGGATTGACATATATCTTTCTCTGGACCTCAAACCGTTTTGTATATCTATACCCGCACGTTAGCGATACTTGGTGGAGAAAATCAGAGGAATCAAAACACATACGCAATTACATCACGTAGATGTGCGATAGAAGAAGATGCCTTTTCGAACATTTCGGTACCTTCGAAAATTACCTTTAGTTTTTGAAAGGCTTTAGTAGGGGTGTCTCTAAAATCAAAACGTTGAAGATCCTCAACGCTTGTGGCAGAAACCTGAAATATAGGTTAGCAAGTGATTACCTTTGAGAATTTCAAACTAATCATACTCCAACTAATGGTGATCTAAGTTCAGCTCTTATCTTCTGCCATGTCCATTGCTGTACATTAAGCTTACTTAATGTATCAGCAGCAGCTTGTCGTATACTAGGTTCGATGCGACAAAAGTCAAAGATTAGACCGAGTAAATCTGCATGATTGATGTGAAAGCACATTTGCGACGAAGGTAAGGACGGGAAGCTAGCAACGATCTCATCTAAAACTTTGATAACCTCAGCCTCCTTTAGCGCTAGATCTAAGCTGTCGGAAGTTACAACATCAAAATCCACTTCGCTAAATGTTTGTGGACATGCGCCGTCGTGCTTATCGCGAAAAACGGTACCAAAAGCAAAAGATCTTTCCACAGGAGGCTGGTGTTTCGCGATGGCGCGAGCATTTGGAACAGTGAGATCATAAGGTAGTTGCAGAAGAGTACCACTTTTGTCTAGCAATTGAACAGCGTTGACACCGTAATGATCCGAAGATGGGAACAGAATACTTCGAGGAGTTTCTACAGCTCCATGGTTACGAAAAATTGAGATCAACTTTTGCTTGACAAGCCCTTGTAGCAATAAGTCGTTACCACTAGGAGTCGGAACTCCCATGTCCCAAGCATAATCCTTTGCTTGTTTTGTTGGTCTAGAGAAGAGAGCACTCATCATCTTTTGATGATATGGTGATTTTGAATCAGACAGACCAGCTAAAGTTTGACGGATTGTTTCGCTTTCCATCTGAACTGGTAGTTTCCTGCTTTGAAGAAGTTCGGAACTTGAGGGTCGTTCTTTTGGATTATGGTTAAGGAGGGACAAGATAATATCTGTCTGGACAGCTTTTCCAATCTTGTCAAAATTCGCAGGGAATACTGGATCCTTCTTCCTTAGACCATCGATGACTTGAGCCTAGGCAGAGATTTAGTATGGAATTGGCAGATTGTATGAGACATTAATCGTTTGCTTCTGTTTGGACCCAGAAGGAAAAGCTGTAAAGCCAAATTACGAATATCGATCGCAAGGAAATGTATGAGCAATGAACTTACTCTCTCCATCCCGACAAGCGGAGTATAGCACATCTCAAAAAAAATCACACCAAGAGAATACATATCGACCTTGCCAGTGTACGGTCCTCCAGAAACTGCTGATCGAATTTCGGGTGCAATATATGAGAAAGTGCCAATACTTCGTGTTAAATCCCCACTGTTCTGCATTCCAGATGCTGAAACCTTGTCGATTGCCGAGTATTGGCCCCTTGTGGCCAAACCTAGATCGCCTATCTTGACATTTGAAGCACCATCGATGAAAACATTCTCTGGTTTGAGATCGCGATGAACAAAATTCAAGCTATGAATGTGGGCAAGACCCTCAAGAATTTGACGAAAAACACGCCATATTTCCTCGTTATCTTTATATAGTCCTCGTCGAATAAGATCGCGAAGCGTTCGCTTCTCACAATATTCCATAGATATGTATAGAATCGTTTTGAATGGGCGTGGGGGTCTCGGACTAGATCTACTTTCCCTATGTGCCAAAGCAAGTCGCCCATGCCCTCGATTTCGAGCATGTCCATTGGGTTCTGCGGAATACTCGTCGTCTTCATCATCATCGTCGGATTCTTCATCGCTATCCGTTGCCTCATCGTAACCGAATTCAATTTGGTATCCGCTGGTTGACATAAAGTCAAGCCCCCCTGTACTCGTCGCAAATTCGACATGGGGTCCAGATCCTCCAGGGGAGATATTGCTGATAGATTCTTCTGTGGCAGCATCCGTTGTTGTATTTTCATCGTCTGTTTCGGAAAGGTCTGGAATTTCTTCCGTCCATGTACTAAAGTAACCTAAGAGAGCGTAAGCATCATACCGGGTCAATGAAATACTATGATTGAAAAGTCTTTCTCCTAACCCACTCCCTGGTAATTTAGAGGATCGAGAATTACATTGATATGACTTCCAACTTTGGCTCAAATATGTTGTGCTGTAGTAGAGAATACAAGAAAACCCAGTACTCACGAACAACGGAAGGATGATTGAGCTGAGAGAGTAAGCGAGCCTCTTTTAGTACATCATCTAGCTGAGCAGATGACTTTTGGGTAATCTTTTTGATGGCATATATCTGTCCATCTAGTTTCTGTCTTGCTTTTACGACCTCCCCAAAACCTCCTTTTCCTAAGCGACCCTCTTCAACAAAATCATGAGCATATCTTGAAAAGGGTCCAGTGAGACTCATAGAATCATGTCGAGGTCTACGTGGCGTTATGGGTGCCAACGATGATGTTGATCCGATCCTCGACAATATAGCAGACGTATCTTCATCCATTATAGTAGCATCAGTAACAAGAAATTTACACGAACCTATTCAAATTAGTCAGGTTGGTCCACAGAAGATATGGAGATTCTACGAAAACCTAAAGCGAACAGGAGGAGCACTTACTGAGCGCGAAAGCTCGCGGTCGTTTCTTCGGATCTGGATTGAATAGTTTGAGCATAAAATCGTGTAAAGCATCAGATAAGTCCAATGAGTCTAGCATAGCCTTTGAAGATGAGTACTTTCGAGTAACATTCAACCCAAAAGCCATCTGAAGGAAAACGATACCAAGTTCCCATATGTCAGTTTTCGCGGTTCGTAGGCCGTCCCCCAAGTTAGCAATTTCCGGAGGAAACCAGTACGCAGATTTTGCCATGGCAGAGCTATCGATTTTTCTTTTTGTGATCTTACCACTCAAAGCATGTAGCTTTCGTTGATATCCGGCATCAGCAAGTTTTGGCCTGACCACTCCATCTGATTCTCGGAAAAGAAGTACATTTCCACTGTGTATATCCTAGAACGAGGAGCATCAGTACTTGAAGAACACGGGAATATAACCAATTGTTTACCTCGTGAATAATTCCGTTTTCTTCGTGGAGGAATCTTAAAGCATCCAGTAGCTCTATAGTCCATGAACGAACTTTGTTGACATTCATGTTCTCAACGATATCCAGGAATTCTTCCAAGGATCCTTTCTCAGCATATTTGCTTAAGGTACTGACAGTCCAGGAAGAATCATTCCTGTGCGTCCCAAAATTAATCAACTTCAGCTACACAGAAAGCTCAATGAAACTATAGTAACAAAATAGTAGTGAAAAACTCACTCTTCTTTTTCTACCTTGAAATCCAGAAGATTAAGGATATTGTCATGTCTAATGCTCCTGAGCTTTTCTAATTCATTTTCCATCGCTTGCAATTGTCCCTTGACATTACGATCACCCAAGTTGGTATCAAGCAACGTCTGCTTCAATACCAATAAAGGGGCGTGAGAGCTGACTGCGGGTCTCACGGTGTAGCAACGAGATACAGGACCTTGACGAATAAATGATTTACCAGTAACCGCCTGAAAGTATATCGGATTACCCTCAGCATCCAGAACTGAGACTTGGCGATCTAGTACCTCGTGATCATGAGTCATCTTTCCAATTCCAGAATTGGAGACGGTGATTGAAGGGGGAGGTTGATTTTTCCGCTTTGTCTCTTTTGCTTTGGCACGTTGTCTTTTCAATTCATCTTGCACCAAGGAGCCAAGCATTCTCTCTTCTTCCTGGGATTCCAACCTATCGTAAATTTAGCACTTTTGAGGGGTAATGATACTCTGAGATACCAAGAGCGATCAGCTGATCTCAAAGGGATAAAGAAAAGGAGATATACTAACATTTTTTTCTTCTCTTCTTCTAAACGCTGATCTTCAAGTATCTGAGCAGCAGCCGCTTCATGAGCAGCACGCTCTTCTTGTAAAGTGGGTAGTTCCCGTCCTGCAGCTTTCGCTTCAGCAGCTTGCTCTAAAACATCCTGACAAGCAGTAACAATTTCCATGATCATGGCTTGTTCCTCCTTGACCAGTTCTTTAGGTAATGTCTCGATAATCTTCTGGAGCTTGAATTTAGTAGACTCCCGAAGACCGTCGGTATTCTTTAAAGTCAACAATGGCGCCGACTTGGGATAAGTCAGAGTCAGGGTGACTCCTAAAGTCACTGAGAAATCCTCGTCAGAAGTTTTGATAGATATTTCAAATGACGGTTCTGATTTCTGTACAAAATTAGATTTACGTCATGCATCAGTTGTGAAGAGAATTTTCAAACCTTCCATGCTGATTGATGTGTTTCAATACGCCGAAAGTCATCACCGTATATTGAGGCGAGAGCAATCAACTCGTCATCTTGGGTCTCTTGATATGGAGATTTTGGTGAGTCATTTGCGACATCATTGTTTTTCATTGAAGGAAACGTGTTTAAGGGCTTTTTCTGCTGTGCTTTCTTTCCCCATGGGTTATTTGCTGGAGGCATGATGGAAATTGGGTTATGGCGCTTATTTGATGTGGTATTGATTTATATATTTCAATATCTGAATTCGTCGTTGAGATTCAAAAAGCAACAAATGCGTGCGGCCGAGGCCACAGCTATGCAGACATTATGGGTTTTCTCGAGTTTAATTATGTTAGAAAATTTATATGTCGTCCAAGTCACACTTTGCCTTCCTGCCGTCAAATATATATTTACATGATAAACGCATGAGGCGAGGCAGACAAGGCTGATTGACTAGCCTATCAAGTATGACTAACAACCTTGTCGTCATGTAGCGGCGCTAATCTCTTTGTAGCATAAGCTCCGTGGTCCGATCTTTGTATCGCACAAGGCTCAAAATTTCTGGTGAGTCAATTCCTTATCTGTTGAGAGTCCTTTTAGTATTGAAATACAGTGCTAGGTAGGCCAATTGATCTTTTTTGAATCAATTGAGTTATTGTCGCCCTCGCAAGAAGATTTGTAGATCATTATCTTTACGCAATGGCTCTCAACGCATGTACGAAGCTCCCAGTAGCTCGATTGATCAGACCAACAGCTTCCTATCACCCCGCAATCAGTAGCATCCGATACTACTCTGCACCCCCCGAGAGCACGATACCGGCCGCAAAGCTGAAATACATTCCCACAAGTGGCACATACCCCAAAGGATTTTTAGTTTCTGGAACTCATGTAGGAGTTAAACCCACCAACAAATCTACGCCAGATCTTGCTTTCCTTGCCTCGGAGACACCATGTGCGGCTGCAGCTGTGTTCACAAAGAACAAATTCCAAGCGGCTCCAGTTACTGTGAGCAGGAAGATGCTACAAAGAAGGAATAATACTGGAATCCGTTCAGTCATTATCAATTCAGGATGCGCAAATGCTGTGACCGGAAAGGGTGGAATGGAAGATGCTGAGAAGATGGGTGCTGAAGCTGATAGATGTTTTGACACACCAAGTGATGGTAAAGGTGGGAGTTCAATAGTGATGAGCACTGGTGTAATTGGTCAAAGGTTCGAAGACCTACTTCTACCTCGTTTTCAATCTTAACTTCAATTAAACATTGACTAAACCTTTCACATCAGACTACCAATCCAGAAAATATTGCTCAAAATACCTACCGCATTTGATGGTCTAGGAAGCTCTCACGAGCATTGGTTGGCGACTGCAACCGCGATTTGTACCACCGACACATTTCCAAAGCTCTTATCCCGAACATTTTCCTTACCCTCTTCCCCAGAAGTGGAATACAGGATGGCTGGTATGACAAAGGGTGCCGGAATGATTCACCCAAATATGGCTACTCTGTTAGGAATGATCGCAACAGATGCACCCATCGCACCTGCATTACTGCCTTCCCTTCTTACAAAAGCCGTTAACAAGTCATTCAATAGCATCTCTATTGATGGTGACACTTCTACGAATGACACGGTTGCTGTCTTGGCAAACGGAGCAGCTGGAGGAAAAGAAGTCACTTCTGAATCTTCCGAAGATCATGCTGTATTCCAGAAAGTTCTGACCGAGTTCGCTACAGATCTTGCCAAGCTTGTAGTTCGCGATGGTGAAGGTGCCACCAAGTTTGTCACTATTCGTGTGACAGAGGCCCCATCAGAAATTGGAGCACGCAAAATTGCCAGCACGATCGCAAGATCTCCCTTAGTAAAGACTGCATTGTATGGTAAAGATGCCAACTGGGGCCGTATTCTCTGTGCTACTGGCTATTCCCAAATCTCGGAACCAGGCGAGCCCATAAATGAGGTTCCAGAAATCATTCCTGAGAAGACAAGTGTCTCATTCATTCCTTCAGATGGCTCACCAGAACTTAAGCTTCTGGTGAACGGAGAGCCAGAATCAGTGAACGAGGCTCGCGCTGCTGAAATCTTGGAACATGAAGATCTTGAAATCTTGATAAAACTTGGTGGTGGAAAGGAGGAGGCAGTGTACTGGACTTGTGATTTCAGGTAAGAACCCAACACCCACACTGACGAGAAAAAGACTAATTCCATATAGTCATGAATACGTCACAATCAATGGAGACTACAGAACATAAATAATGAAAACAACAAGTTCAATAATAGGAGAACTCAAAACTTAGAATTTCTTCAGATGAACAAGTTTTGATTGTAAATGAAAGAAAGGTGAAGGAGGACGCATAACAGTGAAAGCGCACCACAGGGGAAACATAGCGAGATGATAGAAATACCCAAGCTTGCATATCAAAAACCACTATAAAGAATCCAATTTAACCCTTTACCTTGTGCATAAGTAAATTAATTATACCTGTCTTCTCGTGTCGCTCCAATCGATCCTCGAGATAACCATCCTACCAGAGTCAGGCTGGTTAGAATTTCCGCCTCAATTCCTCAATTCTCACTAAAATTTCTGCAAGCAATCTGAGAAGGGGGCACATGCAATGCTAATATCATTCTCTTCGCGTATGTACATCACAGACCATAATTCCATCTCACGCTCTTTCAACAGTCTGAGGGGTCCAGGCAGTAATCTTTGGTTTGACACTAAGAGGAAACATCAGCTCAAACGCACATACTTGGCCGATAATTTGTGCATCAGCACTCACGTAGAATAAGTCTTGAAAGCAGCACGGCTCATGGTGAAAGTTGGTCTATGATCCGGTAACTGCCAAGGTTGTTTTTGCTGCAAGAGAAGATCTTCGGTCGGTGGCTTATCTACCATGTATGAGATCCATGCGTGCCATCCGGGCTCAATTTGACATCTACGGATAGTATGTTAGAACGAGACAACTCGGCGAGAGGCGCTGGATATTCCTTACGGGCTGAACTCGTCGTCCTTGTAGTCTACCCATCTTGTGCGTACTGTATGTTGGTGTAAGCGTAATCGGACTCGTAGATGGCATATTATGGCAGGTTCGTACGTGGTAATTCATCCTCCAGGTTCTCAAAATACTTGTTGCCATATCGATCCTTTGCGATGAAGGTTCCGGCCTTGGTATCACCTGTTTCCCATGAGCTTCAGTCTCTCAGCTATCTTTTCAAGCATTGAATACCTTGGTACTATATTTCAAAATCCATCCATCAGCATCGGTGTTCGCTTTGTGGTGGGCTCGTTATGAGGTGTACTTACGTGCATTTGATGAAGAGCATCCTGTATTTTGATCAGCAATCTGGCAAGCGCATCTCGAGGGCCTTCATACCTTGATACCTGCTCTGCGCAGATTGCGCAAGGTCCGCAGAATTGTAGACATCTTGTTGAAGTTGCAATGGGTTTGCTCAATTGTTAACAATCAATGAAAGTTGACGTTCATGAAGTCGTCGCTCATTCGGCACGCCGCTTTTGCGCTAGGTTAGCGATATCAAAACGCTATCACTATCCTATCGGCGTCTCGAAATTTCAAATCTTCAACATCGCAAATCGAGGATTCATAGAGGAATTCCGAAACATACAGAAAGACATGATCGTTAGGACTATTACACGCTGTTCTCGCATTCGAAAGGCTCCCTCCTTTCAACCACCATTACAACGAATGAAACAGCGAGCACATTCGACATCTACAGGTTCTACTGCTACTACGCCCACAGCACCCTCTCCTGCTTCGATACTAGGCGCTTTCACAAATGAGTGCGATAAAATAGCTCCAAAATTCGAGGTGAATGGCTCGCAGATACAAATTTTACGGACGCCATCAGAGTTTTACGAGACGTTGAAGGTTGGCATATACAGCAATTGGACATTGGCGGATGGGACAGATGCTGATGGACGGATATAGAGCAAAATACTGGCAGCAGAGACACGAATTTTCTTATCGACTTTGTATATAGGAAAAACAGAACATGAATTAGTACATACAGATATTCTCCCAGTTTAATAGTATACATGAATAATAACTATGTGTAGATATCCACACTTCAGCAAGCTCTGCGTGCAAAACCAGGTTTGAAACTTAGTATTCTTACTGATGCCTTGAGGGGTACGAGAGAGTCTCCCAATGCGTCATGTGCTTCACTTCTCGCCCCGCTGGTGTCGGAGTTTGGTGCAGATAGGGTCGAGATTCGTATGTACCATACCCCGAATTTGAATGGACTAAGGAAAAAGTATATTCCCAAAAGAATTAATGAAGGATGGGGTTTGCAGCACATGAAGTTATATGGAGTGGATGATGAAATTATCATATCCGGGTATGTCATCAAACCGAGATTTGAGTAGGTTTAAATACTAATAGGACATGAAAAGAGCAAATCTCTCCAGTGACTATTTCACAAATCGGCAAGATAGATATCATGTGTTTTCTTCTAAAGAAGTCACTCAGTATTTTTACAACATCCAGAATGCAGTCTCGAGTTTGAGCTTCTTGGTATCGCCAGACCCTCAACTTCCTGCTGGATACACACTTGAATGGCCCTCCTCAAATTCCTGTCCTTCTCCTCTGACAGACTCCCAAAAATACATTTCTCATGCATCATCCATTCTCACACCCTTGATTCAAGCTTCAACAACATCGAACTCGACATCCAGCAATCCTCAAGCTAACACAACGATCTATCCCATCTCCCAATTTACACCGTTGTTCCCTTCGACCTCCGACACATCTACCGAGCTTCCCCTTCTCACCCGTCTCCTTACCTTCCTCAATTCTCCCACCACTCCTTCGTCCTGGACTTTCACAGCCGGCTACTTCAATCCGTCGCCAACTCTTACCTCCCTGCTCCTCCACACAACATCAAAAAATAACACCGTCCTAACCGCTTCCCCTCACGCCAATGGTTTCTACAATTCCCCTGGAGTCTCCGGCATGCTTCCCGCAGCCTACACCCTTCTCCTCCGCAAATTCCTCGTCGCAGCTCAGAAAATTCAGGGACCCTCTCCATCCATCACTCTACGAGAATGGAAAAGGGGAACTGTCAACGAGCCTGAAGGTTGGACGTATCACGCTAAGGGACTTTGGGTATCATTCCCCACCCAATCATCCTCCTCATCCTCAACCGAGACTCCCAAGCCAGCAATCACAGTACTGGGTAGTAGTAACT